CCATTCATCACCCAGCCTGGATTTGTGCCTGATCTTAAAGGTCTTTTCCAACCAAAGAATTCTATGATTTCACTTTGAGCTTTATTTGCTAATTAAGGTTAAAAAATGCTTAAACTTCAACCTAAAAATGTTACATTAGAAAGAAAATTGATAAGTTGTTTTTGTTTGAAGTGACAATACTGTCACACATCCTCACACTGAACATTCTCTAACTTCTGTCACATGAACACTAACAGAAATAGCCAAAAAAAACCAGCAAAAGGTGAGACAGAGGCTCCTCTGGAATGTAAAGAGCTAATCCTGACAGTTGAATTTAGGCCAGGCTTTGACTGAGAGAACTTCTTGCTCTGTTGGGTTAATGTTTTCCATCATTCTCCAAATATTCAGTTTGATTTCTCTGTTCTAATTGAATTAGCTAAACTCTTGTGTGTGAGTGCACACATGTAAATATGTAATAAATATAAATATGTAATAAACATATAAAAATACACATGTATAAATATGTATATATTTAAAGAAGCAGTTGGCAAAGTTCTTGTAATGTTTCAACTACCATTTTATTTACAGGATGGACATGAGATTTCCTTTATTCTGTGGATTTTTTTATTTTTTAATTATTTTTTTTCCTTGAGTTTAATTGTTCCAATGACTTTTTCAGATTGACTCGTGGTGCAAAGAGAATAGCTACGTGATAGCTGGATATTACCAGGCAAACGAACGCGTGAAAGATGCCAGGTGTGTTGGGACAAGATTTCCTTCTGTTTGCTCTTTCCTCTTGTACTTTGTACTCTGCCAACAAAAATCATCGCCCGTGTTGATTCAACTTTTTGACAACTGTCATCTGGTTTCACATTGTCTTTATGTGGCCTTTGTTCAGGTGCAGAAAACCTCAGTCTTTCCAGAATCACTCCTGGTTTTTTTTTTTTTAGTGGATGCTGTAAAAGGGCAGGATTTGAATGACTGCCAACCAGTTTAATTACAGTTGTCAGGGAAATCAGAATCAGGTCGAGGGAGGGGATTCTCCCCCTCTACTCTGCTCTTGTAAGGCCCCACCTGGAATATTGCATCCAGTTCTGGAGCCCCCAACATAAGAAAGACATGGACCAGTCAGAACAAGTCCAGAGGAGGCCACGAGGATGATGCGAGGGCTGGAGCAGCTCTGCTGTGAGGACAGGCTGAGAGAGTTGGGGCTGTTCAGCCTGGAGAAGAGAAGGCTCCAGGGAGATCTTATAGCGGCCTCCCAGTACCTGAAGGGGCTCCAGGTAGGGGGGGAGGAACTTTTCATAAGGGCAGTTAATGACAAAACAAGGGGAAATGGGTTTAAGCTGAAAGAGGGGAGGTTTAGATGAGATATTAGGAAGAAGTTCTTCACTGTGAGGGTGGTCAGACACTGGAACAGGTTGCCCAAGGAAGCTGTGGCTGCTCCTCCCTGGAAGTGTTGAAGGCCAGGCTGGATGAGGCTTTGAGCAACCTGGTCTAGTGGAAGGTGTCCCTGCTGCTGGCAGGGGGGTTGGGACTGGATGAGCTTTAAGGCCCCTTCCAATCCAAACCATTCTTCTATTCTATGACTTAATTCTTATTAAACTGCTTAATTATCTCCCAGTTTTACTGAAACATTTCCTTACGTGGTAAAAAGACACTCTTGAAATCAAAGATTATGTCACTCAAGGAGAGATGCATCTTTTCATTTCTTTTCCCCAGGATTAGTCATTTTTTTTTTTAAAAACTAACTCAAATTACTCACTAAGCTTCTTGTGAAGCCACAATGTAGTTTTAGATACGTGATCAAATATTTTTCCCCTGTATCTTAGACAAACCTAGTATCAGGACTAAGGAGAGTACATCATACTTGTATTTAAAATAAATAGGAATAATAGGATTTAAAACAAATAGGAAACAAAACTTGTTTCAAATATTATGCCATGTCCTTGTTATTTTTTTAATGTATATCCTTCAGTCCCAAATATGCTTTTTTAAGTAATGCTTCTGACCCCTGAGGTTTCTAACAGGGATAAGGGTGTTATTTGGCCTTTCCTTACAAGGGAAATAAATCTACTGGAGATGTTTTAAAGGCAAAGCTACAGTTTGCCTGTTCTATTTGAGGTTTGAAAGAATATCACAAGCTTGAGGGTTGGGTTTTTTTTTAAGCACCAGTTTTATTTCTGAAAGATAACCAGCACCATGTAGAGATTGTCATCTTTGAAACATGGTAAAGCTTTTCCTTTAAAAGATTATCTGATTTTTGGTAAAGAAAGCTGGGCAGTGAGTGGGTTCAAATACAGACTGAGGAACAAACTCAGGTTTAAAAGCTCTGCCAGGGCTAAGGTGGCTGAGGTTTTTGATCTGGTGGAAGAAGGTGGGAGGCTGTAAAACATTGATTCCATGTAGCATTTTACCCTTGAAAACCCCATTGCCTGAGCACGGCTGAGATCCAGACCGTGTGCTGAAGAGAAGAGCTGGGGTTTTCTTGACCTTCCAACTTCAATCATGTGTAACATCAGCTTGATATCTTGTTCCTGTTTGCAAGCACGTGGTGTCATCTTCACATCTCTTTAAGTGTATTTCCTGTCAGTTGCAGCTGAAATGTCACGGTTCAGATATTTAACACAGTCACTTTTACCTTCTGCTTCAGTCCAAACCAGGTTGCAGAAAAAGTGGCCTCCAGAATCGCAGAGGGATTTAACGACACAGCGCTCATAATGGTAAATTAATTCATTTCCCACCTCCTCACCCCCCCAGTTCTTTCTGTATTGTTGATGTTATCACTGTGGTGGTGTTGGACTGCTCATTTAAATACTATTCTCTCCATCCTTTAATAGCAAATTCACTCATTCCCTTCAAATGCTTTGGGGAAAAGATGCAATGACCTGTAGGCAGTGAAGTTCTTAATCTACAGAGAGACTCTGGTGAGCTTTCTGTCATCTCAAAGGAATTTGAGGCCTTCTCTGGGGTGAGAGCAGCATATTTGTGACTTCAGACCCCAATCTGTGATTAAACTCTTGTCTTAGACTAAATAAATGGTGCTTGGCCTCTTTGCTGCAGTGACAAAGGATGTTGGCAGTTCAAACACCTAAAATCTGTCTCATTTGAAGGTAGAATAGTGGATGAGTTAGTGCAAGGTGTTATGTTGGTAAAAAATGACTTTTTAAAATATTTAATCTCTTTACTTGGGATTTTGAGGAGACTGAGGTGGTGTTTTCCTGTCGCACACCAGGTTGATAACACCAAGTTTACGATGGAGTGCGTAGAGCCGGCCATTCACGTGTACGAGCTTCACGAGAACAAGTGGAGGTGCAAGGACCCGCACGTGTGAGTGAGCTTCAGAGTTTGTTTGTGTTTGGGTAGGAAGGAAAAACGAGTTGGCCTGTTTAGGGGCAAAACTTTGATGGTGATGAGTGATGCTTTAAAGGGTGGTGGGTGTTTTTTGTTGTAGTGAGAGAGATCAGCCGACTTCTGCAGCCGGGTGGTGGTATGACCATGGTGCAGAGAGCGTGGCTGAATTTCCAGAGTGGAGGAGGTGGTGGAGATTTTCTTTGTGATTAGTATTTATGGAGATTTTCTTTGTGATTAGTATTTATTCCTGGTTATTTTATATCCTAGTGATTTTTGTGAAGATTGGACCGAAGCCCAGAGAATCTCTGCCTCTCTCTTGGATAGCAAGTCCTACGAGACACTTGTAGATTTTGATAATCACTTGGATGATATTCGGAACGACTGGACAAACCCAGAGATCAACAAAGCTGTCCTCCACCTCTGTTAGAGGGGTTTCTACTGACTAATTCACAGACAATTCCCACTATGTACTGAAGAGAGAAAAATGCTATTTTTGAATGTAAATAGAATAATATTCAGTACCTTGTGTGGAAACCTGACTGATTAAAAAGGAGTGGCACATCATATTGCAGAGAGTGATGTGTCTGTAAGCCCTTGAACCATTTTTTTTGTGCAATTCCTTTGGAAGAACCTCCAAACTGTCAGTTACAGCTTCCCAGTTGTAGTGAATGTTGCTGTTCCTTCAAAACCAGAACTGCTTTTGCTCCTCCCTACTGTTCGTATTACAAAGTTTTGACTGAGCTTTTCTAATCTTTAGAAAGATTCCTTTTTAAAAATGTATGGAAATACCTTTAAAAAAAAAAAACCCACTCATGTCTTCAGATGAGAAATTTTAAGGTCAAATACATAAAATATAAGGTTAACTGGGTTTTTTTTTTGGCCTGGTTTGGAAATATCATTCTCTCAACACAGTAAAATGGGAAGCACTGAGGACGATGTACCGTGTTCTCGTGTCACCTGTTTTGCAGTGGTTTAGCATGACACAGCTACAGAGAATGTTTTAAAGCAGTATTCCCAAAAGCTACGGTGATTCCCCCTCCCCATTCCAGGAAATTTTAGGGTTGAATATGTTAAACCCAAGGTAAAAAAAGAAATACACACCTAATGGTTTATAAAAAGGACTGGAAGCACACTAGTGATTTTTTTTGAATGGTGATTCTGAAAAGGTTTGAGTCCACAAAAGAAGAGTGAAATCCCTTATATCCCATAAAATTTGATGTCTTTTGGGGTTTTGTAAACAGATCTGATTTTCAAGTGAAATGTATGAAATCATAGAATGGTTTGGGTTGGAGGGGACCTTAAAGATCATCTAATTCCAACCAAATGTATCCCTCCACATCCGAGTACATGGAATGAGTGAGCCTGGATACAGTCTTGTTCAGCTTCTGTCCCGTTAATGTTTGTTTCTAAGAAGAAGTTTGCTGGATAATGAAGCTTTATATGGGACTAGGACAGTTCTGGGTAAGTCTTGTTGCCTTACTCCTCATGGTTGGTTGTCAAATAATAATTAAACACAACCTCAACCTGCAACAGTTTCTCTAGATTTCCTTCTCTTCCCACCCAAAAATGCTTTTACAAGGAAGAGCCAAATGCCCACCAAATGATCTGCCTCTCTCCAAGTTCCTCGTTTTTTGTCCTTAGTGTTCTTATTTGAAAACAAGGGGGGTGGGATTGTCAAAACCTCTTGGTTTACCTCAGCTGCTGTTAAATAAGCACAAGTTTTACCCTTGACCTTAGGGAGAGATGGATTCAAGCTAAAATCCTGTTCTAAAGCAGTGATTGGAACCAGGATTCCTCCAGCTGGGTCCTGCTGTGGAGTTCCCTGCACTTCAGATTTCACAAAGCCAGGAGGGAAGGTGTGAGGTTCAGGTCCCTGTTCAAGGAGATGAAGGTTTGAACTTGGTTTGTATGTTATGAGCATGACAAAAAGGATTGCACTTGCTCAGTAACCTTTCTTAAGCACGAGTCAAACACCCTTGCAGGAAAGGAGAATGTTTTCACTTCTTGGAACAAGAGCATGTTATCTAGCTCAGGAGCAGCGAGAGGAACACATTCCAGTGGGTGTTTTACTGCAGGTCCACACCTGTATGAAAGAACACCGTGGAAACAACAGTGCTCTGGGAACATGTGGTCAGAGTAGACTCTGCAAATCGCACCCGCCGCAGGAAGAGGACTGATGTCTTACTTGCTGCAAACACCTCATGAAATCTCAACTGTTGTTCCAGAGAGATGTTATCTTAGCAAGACAGGTTATATTAGTTATGTGAGATTGTCAGCTGTAGAAGCTGGTAGGTCTGCTAAGCCACGGGAAATGTATTTCTTATCCTTTGTAACTAGATGTCATGATGAAGCTTTGATCGTATTTATGCTCATACAGTCTGATCTTGCAGGTATTCCCCCCTCACCCTCATAAAACAAAGCAAAATGTGGGGGTGGTCAGACACTGGAACAGGTTGCCCAAGGAAGTTGTAGATGCCCCCTCCCTGGAAGTGTTCAAGGTTGGATGAGGCTTTGAGCAACCTGGTCTAGTGGAAGGTGTCCCTGCTGCTGGCAGGGGGGTTGGAATTAGATGATCTTTAAGGTCCCTTCCAATCCAAACCAATCTATGATTCTATGATCACCAGTCTGTAACCTCCTCCCTGTGACTAATCCTTGTTACTGGAAGGAAAGTGGCTTTTAATGCTTTGTCTTTCCCCTTTTTTTTATGATGTTTGCTTTTAAATGAGGTCCTTTGAGTGTTTTGCCATCAGCAGAAGCCCAGGTTGACTTGAAGCAATAAGGACAAGCGCTGTGGTGCTCAGATCTTATCTCACCTGTCCTATTTGCATTGAAGGCTGGACAAAAGACAGCAATTTCATAAAACCAGGCAGCTTACAGCCACTGCTGGCTCCTGTGAAAGAATGAGGAAGCTGTCAGGCTCAGCAAAGGCCGTGTTCTCCTTTCCTGCTGAGGTACCAAACCTGCCTGTGGGAGCAAATGCTGCTTCCCTGGCTGGTGGGTCAGTTGGATTCATCTGGAGGAATTCAAGGTAACTCCTTGTAAAACTTTTGGGGGGAGAAATCTTGGGGAAGGTGTCTGCATCCCCATTGCTGGGGTCCTCATAACAGCTGGGAAAACCACTGGGTATGGGGGGTTGTTAATTTTCTTTTGTTAGCAATTAATTACACAGCAGCGTTATTTATTTATTTATTTATTCCCCTGCCCCTTGTTCACCAAGATTTGGAGATTGGGCATTTTCCTGCTCAGCTGTTTTAACTCCCAGCTCTTTACCTCATCTGGAGGATCTCAGACACTTGGAAATGCAAAATTATTCCCATGTGAGATTCTTTTTTCCACTCTCAACCTTAATATTTCAAACCAGTAACACCCAGACCCTGCAAGTGTCTGAAAATAGCAGTACAAAGTGCTTGGCTTTGTGGGTGGGAGGATGGACACTCTCTGCTGGATCCATGGGAGTGCTCATCTTGAATCCTTTAGTCATAAAGGGGAGAAAGAAGAACCTTGAGCATCCATTTGGTTTGAAATTAAGGATCAGGAGTGACCTGAGACCCAGACAGCCACCAGGCATGTCCCCAGGTGTGCCACCAGCTGATGGCCCAGGGCACGTCCAGCTGTGATCAAAAACTCCACGTAGGGATCCAGCTTGAGGAACCCAGAAGGGAGCAGAGAGTTTGGGGGACCCATAAGTGTTATTTTCACCAAGAAATGAGAGTGGTGGCTGGTTGGGGTTTAGATGCACGTCGGGAATGGTCTCTGCTCCTCCTGGCTTGTGTGGCATCACGAGTGGGAAGAGCAGATGGGTGGCAGGAGCCAAGGGGTGTCTTTGCTCAGCTGATCACGCAGGTAAGATACCTGTTCTGGGAAAGGTACTGATGTTGGACTCTCTCTGAGCTCATTGTCTGTGTATCTATGAGGGCTTTGGGGTTTTTTTTCCTTCATTCAGCAAGTGAAACCATTTGCTGCTGGAATTTTCCCCCATTCCCTCCTCCCATCTGCTCACTGAGCTGCTCATGGGATGTCTCCTACCCTATATCAGCGTGAAAACAAGCAAAGACTTCACCATGTAACCTGGTTTTCAGCTCATAGGAGCTGCCAGGGGTGCAGGAAGCAGATGAGCAGTTCAGCTGGGAGGATGGAGGAGCCACAACCCCTTCTCCTGGCACAGCTGGAGCCGTGGGCAGACAGATGTGCAGAGCCCAGCCCCACTCTGCATGGAGCTGTGGAGATGGACGGCGAGAGATGACCCCCTGCCCCTAAGAATTTCTTATCTAAGTGGCAGAGGGAGAGGTGACAGTGACAGATGCAGGAAGCAAAACCTGGTCTCTTTGCTCTTTGGCTGGAGGCCTAATCACTGCACTCTGCTGCTGTTTGTAAAAACGTCTGGAGATGTTGGAGCTGAGGGCATTACCCAGACGGAAAGAGCAAGCGGATGCTAATGGAGGAGGCTCTTAGTGAGGTGGACTTGTGGGTTGAGTGCAGCTTGGAAAATAGCCTCCAGGGGAAATGTTCTCAGCGTGTGCATTTGTGAGCTGAGCTTCTAGTTGGTGATTTTTAATTCAAGTCGTTCACCATTGCTGGTAGGAGCTGTAGTGAACTGATCCAGAGCTGAACGAGCTGTTTCTTTCTGTTACTCCTGACTCAAAACATCTCAACTCATCGTCCTTCTCGTTTGCTTCACCCTTCTCCCTGCAACCAGCCCTCCCTCCCCTCCCACAGCAAGGCAGCGACTTCACTGTGCCTAAGTAGCTGCTGAGGACTTTATTGATTTATATTTTTATTTTTAATACTGTCATTTTTAGATCACATTTTCACCCAGCCTTTCTCATCCAAAAGTCCACCCTTAGCTGCATATTTCCCTTTGATTTTTCAGCCTGTGAAAGGTGATGGATGTGGATTTGGAGAGGATGGAGACAGGTCACTGCTGGGGGTTTCTAATAACGGGACTGTGCGAAGGGTGCAAATAAATCCGTGCTCAAGATGTGAGCTTGGCACTTTGCACTCTGCCAGAGCTGTGAGGAGGGAAATGGGGAGCTTTACTCTTAAAAAATCCCTGGTAGGTGGGCTGGGGAGGGAAGGGGGGTAACGGAGAACTCCTTGAGAGCTTCCAAGCAACGCTGTGCTGGCTGCAATGTGGCAGCACTTTAGCTGGCTGCGGGCAGGATCGATGCCAGGGATGTCCCGTTCTGCGCAACATCAACCCACGAGGGCCATGAAAAACAATGCAGCCCTTCCTAGAAATGTTCTCTGGAGCTTCAAAGATGGACCTAATTGAAAAAAAAAAAAAAGAAAAAAAAAAAGAAAAATAAATATATATATCTCTCTCGAGGTTGTAGCAGGGGATAAAAAGGGAAAGCTGGGTTGAGATTAACCCAGAGCTCAGCGAGCCGAGAAGCGTGGCAGTCAAGTCCCTGAGCCAATTCCCAGCCACGGCCTCTCATCCGCCCGCTGAATCCATGCCCGGCAGGAGAAGGCAGTTTGCTCTGGATGCAGGTCTGGCAGGAGAGCCCGGCACGCTCTGCTTTGTGCTTCAGGTATGTCCTCGCTTTCCTCTTTGCTTCCTTACCCACCCCCTGCCAGAGCAGCTCCCACCCGCTGCCACGGCCCCGTGGATTGTCTCTGGGGTTGTTTTCTGCC